ACCAGCCTCCTCCAGTGATGGGCGACCACCCGAGCATATTCTCACAGCAGCCGCCCACTTGGTTCTCCACGTTCCAGACTCGATATGATGAGAACCAAGCTCGGCATGAGAAGAACCAGGCCCGGAATGACGAGCAGTATCGGGCCATCCACTCTACAGTCGCGTCGCACAATGTGCGGCTCGACTCGTATATAGAGCAGAATGATGCCCGTTGGGCAACCTTCTTGAAGACCAATGACGAGCGTTGGGCAGAGCAGCAGAGGGAGTGGAACTAGTTCCAGAGGATCAACGAAGCGCACTGGACTGCCCATGACAGCCGATGGGACACCTGGGAGGCGCAGCAGTACCAGCATCCACCACCGCCACCACTGAACGCACAGTGACTTGTCACTGTGCTTTGTAAGCTTTTCTTTCTCTTTCTCTTTTATTTTTGTATAGCTTCTTTTATTTCGAGTCGAGTTCATTATATGGTTTACTCTCCTTCACCGAGAATTGACAATGGGGACATTGTCCGGTTTTAAGTGTGGGGGGAGTTTACGTGCTTACGTGACTATGTGGTGGACCAGGTCTAGTTCTTGTCTTAGGTTATTTTCTTTTTATTTCTTTTCTCTTGCATTTTGGGCCGGTTTAGTCTTTTTATTTTTAGGATTATTTGTTATGTCTTTCTGAGCTTGGACTTTGGTGTATTGTAAGACTAGTTGACAATCGATTGATTAAGTTAAGGAGTTGTGATATTGAGAACGAGTGGCATATTTTGACTATTTTGCTTGGTTGGTTTGAATGGCATTATCTACCAGGCTTGAGCCATACTTGTTTCTTGAGAGATGTTGGTTTGAAAATTATTCATCTAGGATTTGCCTCGAGTCTACTTCGAAATAAATTGATTGAATTTGTGAGACGTGAAAATGATTGAGGCGTTCCTTGTTTTTGCTTTCTCTTTTCTTTTTCATTCCGGAAATAATACTCACTCATTACCCCTTTTGAGCCTTGTTGATACTTTCCTTGATAACCCCGAATGAAGTTGAGGATTGATGAATTGAATGAATTGGAGGTGACGATTGTTGAGTTGTAAATAGTTGTGTAAATTAAAAAAAAAAAAATTGAATGGAAACCTAATGGATTATACTCCAAGTGCTGGACCACTATCATTAGTGAGACCGAGCAATGAGTACGGGAAACCGGTCTAGGAGACTCGGGCAGAAAACCCGAAGGTTAAACCTAGACAAAGATGTCCAAAAGGTTTTTCATTCAAAAAAAAAAATAAAAAAAAATAATAATAAAAGGAATTGCTTGGGAAGTAGTTGATTTTGGAGTTCGTAGGAAGGAACCGGTTGGTGATTGACAACCGGAGGTGTTCACGATCACGGTTGGGTGATGGAATTGGGTTGAATTTGTTTTTATCTAGCCACTTAGCCTATATGTATCCTACCGATCCAAAGAGCTTACATTACAACCTGAGAAGTCCTCTTGATTCATCGTTTCACGTCTTTGATTGTTTTAGAGTAGAAGTTAGACGATTGACAAATCTATGAATGATTGATTGATAACCAACTTGAGTGCACCTCCTTTATATTTGCAAAAGAAACTGAGTGAGGCATATGATATATTTTCGTACTCGAGAGTCTTTGTCATTCGAAATAACTGAGTTCATGGTTGATGTGTGTTCTCGTGATCATTTGAATTCTTCGTGACTTGATTGATTGGTTTGAGATTAGTCTTGCTTGAACCGTTGTCCTTGCTCGTTTATTTGTTTTCTTTTGTTTTCTTTTCTTTTCTTTGTTCGGGACGAACAAAGGTCTTAGTGTGGGGGAGTTGTTTGTCTCGTTTTTGTTACAATTTTCTTTGATATTTTGTGTGTCGTTTCCCTCGTTTTAGGTATTTTCTTAGGTATTTCCGGCCTCTTTTGTCGTTTCTTGCGTTTTATTGTTATTTTGATGTGTTTAGGTTTGTTCTGTGTTTTCTTTTCTATTTTCTCTGCTTTTCGTGTTTTTCCGGTGGTGCGATTTCAGGTTGTAGGATGATCAGGCTGGCGAGTGTCCAAACATGATGAGAAGTGGA